GTCTGGTGAATTTTTGTTTAAAACATGATTGATTATCATTCATTGGGTAGAAAATACAGACATTTTACTCAAGTAAGAGTAAAAATACTTCATAATAAATTTATTCAAGTACAAGTAAAAAGAACAGCTAAAAGTTTGTTTTCCCCTAAAGGTTACAGAAGTAAATGTAACTAGTTACTATGCAACTCTTATTAACAGGTAATCTGTAAGTGAGCCAGAAACTGGTTCCAGTTTGGTTAAACTGTTTAATTCCCATCGGGTCAAAAAGGATTTTTTTTTAAAGAAAACGGTACCATAAAATAAAACTCTTCTTTTAAAAGCTAAAACCTTTTTTAAAAATACAATAATTCATAGAGCGACCTGAGCAGAGCTCAAAATTACAAACCATCAAAGAGAGAATAGAAATACAGGCTTCAGCTTTTCATGTATTTATTTATTTATTGTTTAAAATATTCAGCCTTCACATAAAAATAGATAAAAAGCCAAGTGACGAAGAAGATTATTTAAAAACTCTATTCAGGCAGCATCATACAAGTAAGACCCAAATTATTTAGGATTAAAGTTAATCTTTCTGTTCACCTTAAAGTACCTTAAAGTTCTGGTGCGGCCCGGTTAGAGTCCAGAGCTGAATCAGAAAATATGGAGGGAGAGATTAGGGTCATGGTAAGAGGCTGTCCAACGTCTGTCTGCATATTTTTATTTACGTTCTATTTTAACAAAGTGTAAATAAAAACATTTCTAGTGTTTATCCTTTTATTTTATCTTGTCAGGGAGATTCAGAGGGTATGAATCATTATGAGCTTTACTGTGTAAACTGAAGACAGAAACATCCAGTGAATCCAGAACCAAAGACAGAAAACAAAACGACGTGACGATGAGTTAAAATACAAACCGAGCCGCAGAAACATGGAGACATTAAAAATATTTAAAAAGCAACAAAAATCCAACAGCTGCAAAGAGAAAACAGAATTAAACTTTATAAATTAAACTTTTAACAATCCAGAGATTTAAAGTACAAAACAGAAAAATCTCAAAGTGCATAAAGACAATAAAACATTCAGAGGACAAAAACATTTAACAATTAAAAATCAGTCAGATTACCTTCATTTCATTTCATTGTATTTATTTAAAACTGGTTAGGTAGTAGATGGATCCGTTTTTTAAATTCAAATAACTTCAGAAAGTGCAAATTTTACCAATTAGGTCGATTTACAGCTTTTAAACTGGCATTTTTAAACATTTTTAGAATTTGAATTTGTTCTTCCAGTGTAAAGACAGAAAATAATGTTTATTCTTCATAGTATCTATAAAAAACGAGGTAGATGAGGACCTGTTCTGTATTCAACAGACGCTGGTTAATACAAACTCTTCATTATTTAGTTTTTAAAAATATATATATATATTTATATATAATTAAATCCAGTCCCAGCACCACTGAGCTTCATCTCAGAGTCACTTCATGGTTCTGCAGTCGTTCGTTCTTCCTCTTCAGCTGAAGTAACAGAACCATGAGAAAAATCTCAGTCTTTTCTCCAACAAACAGATTCTGGAGGATCCCAAAGCAGATTCCAGGCTACAAGGGAACCGAATCCTGCAGGAAAGTCTCTGATGGTCCGGGTTCTCCTGGTAGCTGAACGATCGATGCTGAAACCTCCCTGCGGTCCGTTTTCTCACTGTTCTGTGAAGGACGGCAGCAGATTAACACGATTCAAACAATCCAAACCAACAATAGTTCTTCATGGTTTCTAAAAGTCTTTCAAGCTCTTAACTCATTTTAAGAGGAAACGTTTGTCTCTTCAGCATTTTAACTTCAGGCTTGTAAGCTGAAGTTATGAACCAGTGTTGCTTTGGCTGAACAAAAAGAATCTGCTTTAAACTGAGCCTGAAGTTCTCTATGACCTGTCAGAGGCCTCTGTTGTATTTATTGAAAATACTGACAGGAGCTTAGTACCACCTAACTGACTCCTTAAGAGGGTTTAGCTGTGAACGTTTTGTGCAGTAGATGCGGTGCTCCGGTTCTCAGGCTGGTAATTCATCGAGTGAAAAATTACACTGGATAGTTGCTGGATTTTGTTTCTTGAACACACAGCTTTTAGATACCACTCACTGAATGACCATAACCCAGTGAAATAAAGCAGTTCTGTGTCCACATTGACCTATGTTTGAAGAGTTCGCATCTTGATTAATTCTGACAGATTTTTGCTGAACAGATTTCTGGCAGGTCCACTTTGTTCTGGACCTGCCAATATGTGTCATCCTTGCTGTTTTCATTGATTTAATTAAATAAATAGGAGGAAAGTTGTTATTGTGTGTTTACTGGTGACAGAGACTGAATAACATTTAAATCTGGTCTTTAGTAAAGTCGCCGTTATCTATCTGACTCCTCCTCTGAGATTATGAGTCATTTAAACTCTGATTGATGACAAAATATAGTTGGAGACTGCATTACAAATTGATGAACAAGAACAGTTCAAAGTAAAACTAATAACTGTCTTGGTTGTTTGACTAGCAAACATATGTGCCACTTTGAAAATAATTTTCCATTTGCCACTGGAAAAAAATAAATGTCAGAATGCAGAATTCCTCTTGCACTATTACACAATAATAACCTGTTTTTCTGTCAAAGAATATTCCTCCTCAGGTGTTGTTCTCGTGGGTTGTTTCTGCTGATGAAAATAAAGTTCCAAGTTAGTCATCATGAAAGCTTCAAAGATAATTTAATAATGAGCAATAGTTTAAATTCTCAGTTGTTTTGATTTAATTGTATGTAAAATGTCGTAACAGCTGAGTATAGAATATAATTGAAATGATTTTTTATATAATTAAGACAAGACAGAAATACTAAAGATGCAGAAAAGAGGAGAAATAATTCCTACCTTGTTATACAAATAATGACAGCAGCTGCTATTCCTACCAGGATTACTATAGACACTCCGATAGCAATTCCTATTTTATTGCCACCATCTAGGAGAAAATAAAACAGAAAGAGAAACATTTGTAATTATGTTATTATAACTCAGACATGCAGAGACTGCACAGAAAAACAAAAGTGAAAATATGTTTTAGTTGTTTCTGTCAGGAGGAGCTGCTCCTCTGTCCTGCTGTGAAGGTCGGTAGTTTTCACACCTGAGGAGTTTAGAACATTTAAAAAGATTTCTGTTCTGTTTCTGTTGATGTGAAAACAAATAAATCGCTTCAGGTGCCGACCCACAGAACCGGACCGGACCGGACCGGACCGCTGAGAGGAGCTGGTGTCGGTTCTGGTGTCGGTTCGGTTCATTACAATGGTGAAGGCCTGATTGAAGTCTGACTGCGATCTCACACAGATACATGTTGACTGCAAGCTTGATCCAAAAGTCTTTATGTTGCAAAGCATTGTGGGAACAAACTAATAAATAAAGACATTGTGTTTTTTCATAAAGCAAGAAGCTTCATGCAACTTTCAAGATGTTTTCTTAAAATCATTTTTCTCTGATAATTTGGCCTGAAATAAAACCCAGAAGGCCCAACATCTGTTTCCTGTTACATCTGGTTCTCCTCTCCAGTCATATTCAGGTAACAGGATGATGGCGCCTGGTTTGTAGTGACAGGTTCTGGTTCGCTAAAACAGATTTAAAATATTTTCTTCTTGTTTCTAATCAGAGGTCAGGAGCAGCAATCTGGATGTTCCTGGATCT